GCGCGTCATCGCAGAGACTGGCTCGTATCGTGGTGAAAGAGTTTGCCTACCTGGGTAAACCATTGAGCTGTACTGGAGAATGTTTCTGCAGCATCCACAGATTCCCTCCTGCCAGACTGACCAACGGATAGAGATGTGACAGTGTTAGTGCTCTAGTTGTGACGTAATTAAGTTGATTATCAGAAGGTAACAAGCACTAACAAATGTCTGTCTTACTTGAATGTGATGAATACAATAGTTAGGTGCGCTTGATAAAAATAGATACAATGCGAAAAGTGGAATAAGCCAAAAAGTGACTTATCTTTTGAGGACACTTGTTGAGAGTTCCTGAGTGGAGTTCCGGACGCTACGTGTGTTCCGTAGTTTTCCGTGGAGGCTTGCGGAATTCTGCTGACTTTCTGTCCTGTGCGCGCTAGTGTGTGTGTTGAGCCCGGTTGTATGCCCATTTATTATGTGCGTTGTAAAGAGAGGAGTGTCCCTTCTTGTTTGATACTCGCACGAACATGAATACAACTTGACCTGATATGATGAATGAAGTTCATAATCCTGGCGCGTGACGAAAGTGGTAGCCGCGTAAACGAAAATGGTTGATAAGTTTTACTGTACATGTTGTCGGCTATAGTTGCAAGTGTGACAGGAATTGTCAGGTGGTTTGAGTGTTTGTGACGCGTAATCTGATGAGTGACCTCTACAACAGACACTCTTCCAGCCATCCAGGTTGTATTTTGGAACAAGTGTGGCCATTTGATTCTTTAAAAAATGGGCTACTCGAGTAGACTCAGCAAACCACCGATGCTTTGCCAAAGGCATCGATTGGGGATCCTGACTGCCCTCCTGTCTGAGTTTGGGCGCTTTGACATTATCTCGGCCAACAAACAACAATGAAACTTTCAAATAAAAGTACATTTATTCCACATCACCCGTCGCCTGGTGACATCAACCAAGAAGCCTTATTCGACGCGCAAAACAGGGTAGATAAGCGAGGACGTGCGAGTTTTGACATTTCTATTTCTCCCCATTGTTACCTCTTAAGTCTTATGTGATCCTACTTGACAATCACTCTTATGTAGAACCCATCTCAGCCAGGAATCTGTCGAATTGACACAGCAACCAGCCGCTCACATCTACCACTTCACTTGGGCTATTCGGAATCCGTTCCTCTCTTTCTATTGCAGTCTTTAGCGTGATTACTCTTATGCAGGTCGGCAAACGAGCTGTTCTTGTATGTCCTGTAAATGCTCTGTCGGTTAAAGATGTTGCATCTTCGAAACACGAATACGAGTTCCAAGAACGGTTTTTGAGCCTACAAAAGTCCTGCTATCTAGACGCTATAGTCTACGAACTTCACGTGATTCTGAAGCTGCTACAGATAATCATGCTAGTGTTAGCAGCAGTAAGTTCTCTCGCCAAGGCTTTATTGACCAACTGGGTACCTGAAAACAACCGTCCCTATGCTGTCCAACTTTCTACTTCCGTAAAAATCGCACTGGACGCTCTTCATTCATCGTGTCCATTTATGCACCAATGAACTGTGGCTTCGATTCATTGGGAGATACCTACAGGGAACTGAACATCCTCTTGTCCAAAAGGAAAGCTCGCATATAGTCTAAACGAAAAACGCAAGTTTGTCCCTGCTGTTCCTCAGCAGTAATGGATTTGGACGCATTGGGCGCCACTGTGATACCTGGCGTCCCCCTCCCAATGTAGATCAGCCTTAAGTCAAAATGTCCACATGTCCATCAGCTACCGTTCGTGTTGATCGTTCCGGAATACCCAGTCCGATTCAGATCAGATTCACTATCAGTGAAGATTTTTAGAATTTCTCAGTAAGCCCCACAAACAAGCTTCACGTTGAACAGCACAGAGCCTTTGTGGACCACAAGTCAGGGAAACATAACAGCATAACTATGCAGTACATCACAAATGGCCTCAGAGGACAACGTTGGCCGTAACTGTGATGAGATAACCACAGTCAGACGTGCCGCCGGGAGCTCTGCTTGTGGTGCTTCTGAGGGCGCACTCGGAGGCCAATGGATCTCAGAACGCTCACTACCAATTCTAGATGCAAGACTGCCCATCCCTTCTGGTTCGGGGTACAATACGACTAGACGATCGATTAAACGACAGCTAAAATGTAGCTCTCTGTGGACAATGTACGGTGGGATCAGACTTCAAGAGATGAATGAGGCCGGTTTAGCTGAGAATGTATGGAGGCTGTTACTGGTAATATGCAAAACTGGACCTAAAAGGCGGTTTGATGGTCCCTTGTTAACTCTAGTTGTATCTTTCATCCTACTCATTTTGAACCGTGGTCCATGAGATCAGATCCTTCATCAGCGGATGGAACACTACTGTGCTTCGTCTCTTTGAAGCGCCATCGGGCTTCTGGATCAGATGCGCATCCGCGGGCGCTGTTCAAGGAAGAGGGGAATCGTTGTGTCCCACTTTCGTTAGTGTGTCCGTACTTTTTGGAAATAGAGCTGGGAATACTTGTTGGTCGTACAACTGCTAAAAAAGATACCCAAACCGAGTGTTCCAACCATAGGGGTATAATTTTAACATCTGTGGCAACGTGACTAGTGGCTTCCTTTATATTGTGACGTCCATCTTCGGCTCATGAGACAAGTAAGAGAGCACCAAGCTGAACTTCGACCTGGAAAAGGGCACACTGATCATATCTTTACGTCACATCAAGTGCTTGAGCAGCGTCACCCATATCGGTAACCGAAAACAGCAGTTTCTTCAACTTTACAGGAGCTTTCTACTTTGCTGATAAATTTGCTCTCCTTACTTTTCTTGGCGAGAGGGCGATGCCCTTAAAGTTCGCAAACTTTTTGATTCCATACCTCCTGACAGGTTAGTGTTTACAATTAACCTCCCAGAAGTTTCCTGACAACTAATGGAGTTTGTCAGGTCTGTCCCCTCTCCTTTTTTGTTCGGTTTTGTCACTGACGTCATCATACACTGCACACTCCAAGTAACCGTGAATTTGAGGAGAGAGTAAAAGAATTAAATTATGTGGACGACTTGATTATGTTGCTCGCTGATTATTTGTTCACGCAAAGTACTTTAAGCAGAATATAGTGGTTAATCCCATATTATGGCGTGCATTTTGCATCTTCAAAGTGCATAGCCTTATTTCAAGCTTTCATTTTCCATTGTGTTACTCTGAAACCTCAGAACGGATAGGTCGAGTTGGTTGTCGGCTGCATAAGCCGTGATTAAATTGACGGACGAAGTCAATGCGCTGGTAATTAATGCGCATGCAGAGGTCGCTCAATCGTGTCATTTTTGGCGTGGGAACTAAGGTTAGTTGAGGTTAAAGAGCAACTATAATACTGGTCTGAATCTAAAGTTGTGAGACTTGGCCCATCCGACATTAGGCGACTTCAGGTGCTTCATAACGGCTGCAATGAGTTCGCAACGAAGTGAAGCTCATTCTTCAGAGCAGCAAAATTAACCTACAGGGTTGGAGCGTGCACTACATATTCCCAACTACCGTTTAACGATAAAAGCTTGGTTTTCTGTTCCGAACGGTGACAGGCCATGACATGGGTACGTGAAAGGAAAGAGGTTACTGTAATGCACTACTCATATGGTTGCTGAAAACTTCTCAACAGCCCACGACCCGTTTCGCCTTTCTTGGGGCTCATCAGGTAGGCGCAGTCCCCGAGTTTCCGTCAACCTCATGTTCTACCTGAAACAGAATTGCACGAAATCAGTGAAGTAGTTTACAAATAAGTGAATTTCGCTGAAAGAGGCTACTGTTAAACATAGGGCTGTAAGATCCTTACGATTTCTGGTTAGAGTCCATTTGATCCTGTTTGTGAATAGTTGGAAGCTCCGCAGGATACGACACGCAAATGAGCTAGTGGTACGCATCATGTCATTTTCTAGCTGGCCAACTAAAGTTTGCCTGTTGTTATGCGTTCGACTCTTGTCTAGTGAGGTTCGCAATGTGTGCAGGTTTGACCCCGCTGATAGTGCTGTGCTCCAGAGTGATGTTCAGATATGTGTATTTCCTTATTTCCCAGGGGTGTGAATATCTTACCCTTGATCGTCGTCCTTATGATATATGGCTTCTCCCCTATTCTTCGCAGCCTTTACTAAGGCCGCCTTCTTTCATGGTTGTGTGGTAGTTAAACGCCACGGTACTGGTGTGTCGTTGTCGATAATGACGATTATAATGATACCAGACCTTCTGAGGAACAGGCATTCGTAGTTTCCCCCGTACACAAAGAGGGTGACTTATTTTTAAGGCAAAAAACGTTGTTTACTTTGGAGTATCTAAATAGTATATTGAAATGGACACTTGTACATACAAATAGTATTATATGAAGTCAGTCTAATATTTGCCATAGCCACCATAGCCGTTGTAGCCACCGTAACCGCTGTAGCCACCGTAGCCTCCGTAACCGCCATAGCCGCCATAGCCACCATAGCCCTTGCCATAACCGTAGCCACCATAGCCGTACCCACCATAGCCGTTACCGTTTCCGTTACCATGATGTCCATGACCGTAGCCGTAGCCACCATAACCACCGTAGCCACCATAGCCGTTGTAGCCACCGTATCCGCCGTATCCGCCGTTGCCACCGTAGCCGCCATAGCCGCCATTTCCACCGTATCCACCGTATCCACCGTAGCCGCCGTAGCCACCGTATCCACCGTATCCACCGTACCCACCGTACCCACCGTAGCCACCGTAGCCACCATAACCCCCATAACCACCGTATCCACCATAGCCGTCTTTCTTATAGTCAATTTTACCATAGTGGTGGTAGCCGCCATAGTGTTTGTAGCTCCCGTAGCCAGGACCATAACCATAACCATAGCCGTAGCCGCCGTAACCGTATCCGTGGACCAAGGTCACCAAGACGGCAAGGATGATGGAAGTTGCCAGCTGCATTCTCGTTTCCTTCCTGTGGACAGCCTGTGACGGTTAAGCTGTTCTGAATGACGGTACATTTTATAGTTACTTTTGGAATACAACGCAAATTATGGATGCACCAACCCATCCATTGATCGTGAATTGCACTGAGATCAAATCAGAATCGATAATCGTAAGTGGCATGTAGAAGAAAGTGCATATGGGGAATAGATCCAGTGTAGTGACATAGATAATCAAATTTTATCACGATTACCGAGTGAAGCGCATCATAAAGTGTCGGTAGTGTGCATTCAGTAGAAATCCGATTCATGCCTCAACGTTATCCTCGAATAAAAATGCGGACAAACTAAATGTGTTTCGAGAAATACACTCATTCGCAAATCAATTTGGTTTTCACCAGAGGCTCAACTGAATCTCTCGTTTATGATATTCTACAACTGAAGGTGCTGCACACAGGCCGCCTCATGTTTCAGTCCAATTTGGGTTCAACTAGAACATAAGGTTGACAGAAACTCGGGGACTGCGCCTACCTGATGAGCTCCAAGAAGGGCGAAACCGGTCGTTGGCTGTCGAGGAGTTTTCAGCAACCTTATGAGTAGTTCCCTTCATAAATGTGTTTCGTTCTGTGGTTGACAGAATGATTCTTTCATTCTGGTCCGCAGAGCGGTTATTATTTGAAACCGCAGATAGCATGTTGGTAGCTGCTCATGATAACATCAAATTTATAGCTTTTTGACCAGGGGTAATTTGGTTTTTGAACTCAGTGTCTGGTATTCATTCGGTAATAAACATACAATTATGCTCGGGGTATCGACAGAAAGGCTTTCAAAAGTCCACTCTTTAGATATTCAAACATTTTGCTCCTTAAGAAACACAAGTCTTGCTATTAATTACCAACAACCATAAGTCATCCGTCCAGCGCAGCCATACGTGTAGCCCTGGTTGATGCCCACAAAACAAGATTTCCACCAGCAAGGCATAGAACAAAGCTGGAGGCTTATGACCACCACTGCCTATGACATCTGGTGGCAGTTCACTTTCCAGAGGAAGTGTTCAATGGCGAGATATGTGAACGTCTTCATGGTCTAGCATGTCTATCTTGACTCCTTCAACGACAGTGTCCAGAATGGTTTGGACAGACATTGCCCGGGAATGATATCGAAATCATTAAGCATAACTTGCCCAGGATGGGGCTGTTGCATCGGTAGACAAGTGGAAACTTGGCTCAGCACGTTCGGAAGTGACGTGGAGCTACTCGGTCTCCACATAGTGTGCTGAGTCCATCACTGGGACCAACAGTGAACTGCGATCAGTGCAGATCTGACAACCAGTCTGTGTGGACCCAAGATATATGGGAAGCCGAGTGATTCTGTCACAGGATGACCTTTTGAGAGGAACGAAATTAAAAATTTCATCATGGAAGGGATCTTAACATTTACTACCATTCATTTAAGCCTCATAACACCACATTTATAAAAAATTCATTTGAAGTAAGCCTAAGTTTAACTTTGTCTTAAGGCTCCTAAATCCAAAATATGGCATTTACAGACTGCGCTCAAAATCAGGCAGTATCCAGGAGAACGTTTCGTTTCCGCCGTTGGTATTTTTCTTCAAAATTAACCAACAGTATCGCGAGCTTATTGCTATATTTCAACTTTGCAGCCTGGGTGATGCACAAACCCATTTACTTAGTAATAAGTAGGTACAAGAATGTGTTGTGGAATCAACCAATAGCAGGCCTGATTTTCAGCGAGTTTCCTTCTCCCATCAGGGTCACAACATCGTAGAGGCTTGAAGCATCTCCTTGATGGTGCTTATATATATATATACCATGAAAGTAAAGCTGCCCACGACGTGAGAATGTTTCAAGTTGGGGTCACCCTGCTAAAACACTTTCGGGTATATGCCACAAAAAACCTAAAGCTACGGTCAAATTGTTCGGTTAGCGGAGCCTTGAAAACTGATAGGTTCTGTCCTAACGATTTGATTTCGGAGTTGAGGAATACCCCCGGATCACAGTAAGTAACAGTTTTATGACGGAACTCCCAAAGTGTAAATACTGGAGATGGAAAGCAAACAGCTTATGGGATTAGTTTACCAAAGTTATACTTTTATACATTCACATATAAGGATAATAGTGAACGGTTAAACGGGAGTTATGGTTTACGATCGATAGACGGAACTGGCTTGAGGTGTCTTAACGATAAGTTTCACTTCAAGCAACCTTGGGACTTTGGCTGAGTCCGCGCAGCCCATAGAAAAGGTGGTGGTGATTGTGGTTGTGACAAAACAGCATGGGATTCGCACCACCCTACGCAATATAATGTCGTGAATAATGTGGTGGTTATTCCCGCCTGAGCGCGTGCTGATGACACTGCTGCTCAGCCGGTCATGGCAGAAAAGGTGGATGTGCAAACTACTACTGTACTGGCGGATACTACTGATGGGAGTACACGAGTAGTATGTCTTCTCGTAAATCCTCTTCGCCTCTCTTGAAAAGTGAGATCTATTACGGAATTAGTTGATTCGCATTTGCTTGCATTTGAGCAACAGTCACTGAATATCCAGGAAAGGTCAGGAAGACACGTTCAAGGAGAAGATGGATATTCAGTTTTTGTAGACAAGATGCATATGAGAGTCTTGCTTCCTTGTCCAATAGTATGCAACTGTTCACCTGGCGTTTCCTAATAAGTAACTCGACAGAGAAAGCCCTCTTTCTTTCACTAGCAAGGATGACGCGAGTTGGAAATTTCCAGGAACTTTGCGAGATACAGACTGGTAAGGATTCTCAACAAGGATAAATAAGCTGTCTTAGTATACATGGCTTTTGCTTACGGGACGAAACCTCCAATAAAATTTCCCAAATCTTTTCACACTACTAACACACAGGCCTGTTTGGCCCATTAGTCATAAGGTGGTAGTGACAGCTGTTGGTCTGATCTGAAAAGACATGATGATAGTACAACTTCTGTGTATGTTTTAAATCTCAGTTTGTCGGTCACTGGCCTGCGTGAACAGAGTACAGCCATGTAATTTTGTCTCAGTTGCTGAAAAGTGAATTCCTTGTTCAATAACTGCACTGTATTTGCGGGAAGGGGAACACACCTATCATAGCACCGAGTAGCTGGATGCATGAGTTGTGTAGGGCTCCGGGACAGTCTCATTTGGTGAATAAAATCATTGGCTAGAGGTTTTGAGTGCTCGTTCAAGAGCTCGCTTATTTGAGCTGTTAGATTCGAATTATCCCACATATTTTAGCAGGTTCACACGGCTTTATATGGGCTCATTGTAATAATTTACTGGAAGTCTGCAGTACTGAACATTTTTTGTACAGCAAAATCAACCTTCTGCGGAAACCACTGAATGCCACTGTCAAAGAACTGAAGTGTGACAACTTTGTCAGAGTGTCACTGGGTCTTTAACAGCCTATTCCTACTTCTTGATCCTGGCACAGTTAAAGTTTCCTCTTGTCCTGAAATCACGGAGGTGAAGATATATGAATGAGTTGTTTAGTTTATCTGATTAATTTCATCTTTTCTGCCATTGGGCGGTATGGTTCAATCTTCACACGAATTCACAAAAGATCAACTGCTAGGCCTTCTGCAATTTTATCACATACAAGCACCATGGACCGGTCGAAGTTGGGTAGCTTGTTCCAACACTTGTCGTAAGCAAACAAGCGTAAGTCGGTCACTGAATAATTGACCGGTTCTATCTACCATTAAAGTAAGAAAGTCTGTGAACCTCTACCAAGATGCCACATTCATTTCCACCAGATGGCCAATGTGGCCAATATGGCCTTTATTTCACTAAGGCCTAACGACAACGGTGTGATTCTATTTTGCTTATCTGCTCTGCTGACTTAAACCCTCAGCAAAAGTGCTTTCTGCAATCACGACGCCGGTAAAAAGTCATCATCTTCAAGTGTAACCAGACAGCTCGATGAAGAATGCTTGTGGTGTTACTTGACTCCAAGGATATACGACAAACTGGTGGAGACCGGTTCCCGTTGACCAAGTTGGACTTGAAGAGTGAAAGCCAGCAATCCTGGGAGATTTTTTCAATTCTTATTCAAAAAACACTTCAATAAGTCAGACATGGAGACTGTTCACGACGTGTGCTGATTCTTCTTTCTAGATATTTTTTCTTATATCTCTCGAAACCTCATTAAGTTGTTCAAGGATTGTACGTACAGAAACGTTAAAGTTCATCGAAGCCATTTTTAAAATGATCCGAAAGTAATTTTATTGCCTCTTGATGCCGGATTGAGGGGTCTCATGGGATGAAGGCTTTTCTTCTGAGCACAACACCGTGAACCTCTTTTCGGAATCTGACCCGCTCTTTTAATTATCGGTACATCCTAGGGGTGAGTTGCATAGACATGCGCACGCATGTGCATGACATCCACTTCAAATGCGATGAACGGTTGGCTCAACCAATCACGTTCAAGGAATGTTCGAAACTAAGAGCTGCTCGTAACTGCGATTGGGGTCCGATCGGATAACTGATACAATCAGGGTAGACAAAGGAGATACACTTATGATTCTGTTATCGTAGCGAAGGCGACAAGCGCAATATCCGTGCAAATTGAGCAGATCAGTCAAACAGTCTTCGTCNTGAACCTCTACCAAGATGCCACATTCATTTCCACCAGATTGCCAATGTGACCAATATGACCTTTATTTCATTAAGACCTAACGACCACTGTGTGATTCTATTTTGCTTATTTGCTATGCTGACTTAAACCCTCAGCAAAAGTACTTTCTGTAATCACGACGCCGGTAAAAAGTCATCATCTTCAAGTGTAACCAGACAGCTCGATGAAGATTGTTTGTGGTGTTACTTGACTCCAAGGATATACGACAAACTGGTGGAGACCGGATGGTGAAACCTCGGTTCCCGTTGACCAAGTTGGACTTGAAAAGTGAAAGCCAGTAATCCCGGGAGATTTTTTCAATTCTCATTAAAGAACACTTCAATAAGTCAGACATGGAGACTGTTCACGACGTGTGCTGATTCATCTTTCTAGATATCTTTTCGTCTTATATCTCTCGAAACCTTGTTAGGTTGTTCAAGGATTGTACGCACAGAAACGTCAAAGTTCACCGAAGCCATTTTTAAAATGATCCGAAATTAATTTTATTGCCTCTTGATGCCGGATTGAGGGGTCTCATGGGATGAAAGCTTCTCGTCTGAACACAACACCGTGCACCTCTTTTTGAAATCTGCCCCGCTCTTTCAATTATCGGTACATCCTATGGGTGCGAATGAGCACGCATGTGCATGACTTCCACTTAAAATGCGATGCATGGTTGGTTCAACCAATCACGTTCAAGGAATGTTCGAAACTAAGAGCTTCTCGCAACTGCGATTCGGGTCCGATCGGATAACCGACACAACCAGGATAGACAACCAAGATACACCTATGATTCTCTTGTCGTAGCGAAGACGACAAGCGCAATATTCGTGTAACTTGAGCAGATCAGTCAAACAGTCTTCGTCAGAACAAAGGCGACGGGAAATCGGATGGTATTTAAACGAGTTACCGACTGACGGTGGAAAGAATGAGCAAAAGGTGTGTACGTTTCACTAAATGAATGTTTCAAACGTTTGAATGTAGTTTGGAAATCCGTGGTCATACTCCAACGGCAGAGCCGTATGATTTACAGATTCTATCAAGCCTTGTGTTGAAAACGAGCGTCCATTCAAGCAGCACAAGACAAAACTATAATGGAAGTCCTTGATTTAAAGATTCTATCAAGCCTTGTGTTGAAAACGAGCGTCCATTCAAGCAGCACAAGACAAAACTATAATGGAAGTCCTAAGAATGAGCTAAGTTTACACGTAGATATGTTTGCCACTTATTGTGCGAGCTGTCTCCAAGCGCACCCATAAAATATCCATCGATGCTTTTCCAGCCATTTAGTTGCGAACCCCCATGATCNTCCGTGCAAATTGAGCAGATCAGTCAAACAGTCTTCGTCAGAACAAAGGCGAGAGAAAATCGCACAGCATTTAAACGATTACCGACCAGCGGTGGAAAGAATGAGCAAAAGGTGTGTACGTTTCACTAAATGAATTTTTCAAACGTTTGTATACAGTTTGGAAATCAGTGGTCGTACGCCAACGGCAGAACCGTATGATTTACAGATTCTACTGGGCCTTGGGACGAAAACGAGCGTCCATTCAAGCAGCACAAGATTACACTATAATGGAAGTCCTAAAAATGAGCTCAGTTGACAGGTAGATATATTTGTCACTGACTGTTCAAGCTGTCTCCAAACGCACCCATAATATATCCATCGACGTTTAATTGGGAATCCCCATGATCTATAATTCAATCGAAACTTTGTGACTTGTGACAAAATATCGAACGGCACTGTAGAGCTGCTTCATCTATTTTGGGAATCATCGGAATTTTGGATTCTAAGGATCTCTAGAGAGACTGGTGCTCTTGATTTCCCCGTTGAAACGTTACTTTGTATTTTTCGGTCAACAGTGTCCTGTTGGGAGTGTGACTGACTTGCGTGCGGGCATCTGCGCCATGGGCATCCGTACAGCTGTGTGCTGCACGGCTGAAATCTTGTGATTCAGGCATTACGCCGACTTATTTATTTTCGGTTCGGTGAAGGAAAAAAATGAGTAGGGATAGTAGTTGTTGATTTTACTCAAATATAATCCCTATGATACTGGTTGCGTTGGTAACTGAAAGCCTTTCTGTCTGGGGGATGTTTCAAGATGAAAGCCGTCAGTGATCACATAACTGTCTGTCTCTACCAGGTCATCAGAATGAGCAGCAAAAGCATGCACACAATTACCCTACCTCTTTTCATAGAAGTTCGCACTGGAAATCTGGACTCAAACCCAAGAGTTAGTGGCAGAATAGACGGCGTCACATGAAGTGTAATCCCTGGCCAGATTAGCCGAACTACACACACTGAAAATAGTGCCAGTACCGAATCAAATGACTGATTATCGAGTAAAACAAAATGTACCACAGTGATAAAATCTTTGAAGCTTTGTACTTGAACTGAATAAGAGCCTGCGTACATTCACTGCGTCCCTGACTCCATCATTGCTGTCCCACATCAGGTTTGTTGTGAAATCTCCTTCCACCTTCTATACTAACAGCCTACAATGTTCTTTTTGGGGTTCGGCGGTGTCATGTAAATTTCGACGATGTATACAAACAAAAACAACATTGTTTGGAAGTATACGTTGAGCCACTCATGGATTAACTAGGTTGAATATATTACAGCAGACACTAAGATGAGGAGAAAAGGAGAGGGAAGACTATGAGTGAACAAGTCTGAGTGCTAACGAAAGACTCAAGTGAATCTCTGCTCCATTATGTTCTTCAGCTGAGTGTGCTACTCAAAAGCCGCCTCACATTTCACTTCTCACGCTATCTGAGGTGTTCAGGTATACCTTACTGACAAGGCGTACTATCTATAACGTTGATGAAAACTCCGACAGTCCACTACTGGTTTTGCATTTCTTGAGGCTTATGAGGTAGGCTTGATTCCTTAGTACCCATCAGCCTCAAAAGATAGCAAGGGGTGACTGATGTGCACTATCTGTAAATTAATTAGTGGCGAACGAAGATTTCTTTAAGTATCGCTTTAACACCTATGCAATTTACAAATGAATGTATTGCGTCACTTGCGTATAATCTGGTGTTCAAGTGTAATACAAAGTCGATGAAAAGTCAAGGACTTTATCTCTCTGATGGGCTCAAGAGAGACAAGCCGAGTATTGGGTTTTTGAAGAATTTTCGGAAACCCCACAGGTAGTGTTTCATGTAGGAAAGTTTTCCTGTTTGAAAGAACGGTTCTAAAACCAAAAATTCAAAAGTAGCAAAAAGGTACAGACAAGACCGCTCCTGATAGATCGCATGTGCTCAGCAGTTTTCACCATTTGCATGCGAAAATTGGTTGCTCATGCTGTGAGAATGGTGGTTTTTACATTTATGTCGAAGTATAGCGTGAATTTCCTCGTTGATGGAGGTTCAGATGGTTTATTAAATTGTGTAACAGAAGGGCCAGAGGTATGTTCAATGGGAACATTGCTTGCTTCTTCCAGGTCATTCTCCAGGAGGTTAACTAATCAGGGTAGTACGAATATGAAGCCAGCTCACCGCACCATGCGGCAAAGAACAATCGATAAAATAGATGCATGTATCAGAAACGGACTGAAGAGAATCCTAACCAACCCATAAGTACGCTTGTGACTGTTTAGGGTGCTCAGGAATAAGTGGGCAACGGCTGGGAGCCTACGGATTCTCAATGTCACTTCGGTTTCCAGTGAATTTTTTTGGTTTGGAGCGATGTTTTAACCTAATTACAAACCCAACAAAACTTCATAAAACCTAATAAAAGCTGCCCATTCTTCAATTCAAACAAAAGCTATAGAAAGTTTTATTCGATGTTTCTATACGCGTTGGAGCTTGAGCACGCTACTGAGAAATTCTTCCGTGTATCACGCGAAATAAGAGGCGCCAGAAAAGCGCAATTCGGTTGATTTCAAAAGTGCGGTCACTTTGGCTGTTTTAATTCGAATGTTCAACGTTCTGCCCCTGCTCATCTCATTCTAATTTGCTTCACTGCTTATTTCTGAAAACCAGAACGGAAACCGACCCTCAGTCTTTAAAAGGCCTTACACTTGACCCGCTGGTGAACGGGTCAAGCGGTCATCAACCTCCCATGAAGAGGAGCGACTGAACTGAGGGCTTACAGCTGATCTGTACAAATAATGGATCCGAGTCATCCAGGTATTGTAAACTGTTACAAAATCAACAGTTTTTCCCTCGGGTCACGTCACTGGTTGCAGCCGAAATTCCGTACTTCAAAACACACTCTACTACCACCGCAGTGTCGCTTGCAAACGGTACATCCACTAAGTTCGAGAGTCTCTCCGTTTCCGTGTAGACGCTGCAGTATGTATATCAAACGTTTACTTCGCGATGGTGAATAAAAAACTATCAGGATTCACGAATGAAGCCATTTGATTTGTGACTATCATGTACCAAATCATAATGTTTATCGGCATATATTCCTGTGCCAGAACTGACTACTATTCATCCTAGGAACGAAAAGTTTCGGAGCAGTGCCTTCAAGGCATCGGGCATCGGCATCATAGCGAAAATCATAGCGAATTAGATTTCCCATAGCGGATAGAACCATTCTCGTGCCTAGGAACGAAAAGTTTCGGAGCAGTGTCTTCACGGCATCGGGCATCGGCATCATAGCGAACATCATAGCGAATTAAATTTCCCATAGCGGATAGAACCATTCTCGTTTAAATGATTTTATTTAATTTAAAAGATATCTCATCGTAATCAAAAGGGCTCTAGGAGTGCAGTAAAAGCTTCTTATTAGGAGCCTTCGTCCCTCTGCTTAAACTGCTCTTCTGTTATGAACCATGATAATCACACCTCACATTAACTTTAAAGGGGCTTCACGGCATCTTGTTTATCCGTTCGAACCAATCCATAAAGAGCCCGTGGAGGCAAGCCGAAATGTGCCTCCAGTGAGTAGAAATTTGCCTATAGCTCGTGCACTGACCTAAGGAACACAATAAGGTGGGAGAGTCCATTAAACCTACTAGGCCACCAGCGACATATCCGTTCAGTATCACGTGGGCACTCAAAACCTACAAGCGTTGAAGGTTGAAAGAGCGATCTCCTCCAGCCTTCACTGCGACGGTTGATTCAATGCACGTGTGTGATGGGGTGAAAATAGGTGAAAATAGGTGATCCTGTTGCTTGACGTTCCTGGAGTATAAATCCAGGGCAAGTGTTTAGCCGTCGGAAAACCACTGGCCTGTGTGAGAGCGGGACATAACTTTTATGCTAGCTGACCCCACATGGCACACACCTAAAAACTTGACTTACGAAACAACTGCTTAGTGTACACTGGGAAACTACGGTTTTTGTGAATATACAGGCAGCTTGCGTGTTCCTAGGGGACTGAAACGTATATCAACTCCGTTAGTTGGTTTGACTACTTCACTTAGGTCATCCCGTGACCTTGTTTTTTGAAGGAGCTATCGCCGAATAAATGTTCGCCGCAAACCTCAAGAAAACATATGCAGTGTAACTTGCAATCGAATTTTACCAGATACACTTTCTATTGTCCTGCTGCCCATTTCCGGTCACAATCGGGGCCATATCGCAGTTAAGTCGATACATTTTGAAGTGAAGCGTAGCCCCCTACATCATTGGATAGCTGGTCTTTCATGCAGGTGAGGCCAACCAATGTTTTTTGAGTACACCGGAAAAATCTATCATAAGTAGGAAGTCGAGGGATACGTATGTTATAGTGAAAGGATGGTGACAAAAGACTACTTAGGAACATAAGGGTACTCAAGTACCACCAGCGAAGCCAGTCAGGGCGGTTAGATATCTGAGCACGTCTCATACTACTTCTGAAGGCAGCGATGGAGACACTTTCCTCTCTGCGTGGTTATATTTTAGTCTTACATCGTATTCGTTAGGAGCCTTCTACTAAATGGCCCCAATGAGGTGATGAAGCCAGGCGGCATGACCAGAAGGTACGCGGTAACCTGGAATGAATAGATTAGTTGAGGTGTACGATGGAAATATTTTGGTGTATGTTGTTTGGAGTGGCTAGGTCACACGTCTTCAATGAAATAGTTTACTGAGGGAGCCGGTCTGATACATGTACAGATCAACGTTCAATGGACGTTTTATGTGAACAAATGGCGTATGAGCTAATCAGACTTGGCAACATTCTTCTTTCTAGGGGAGGAAAGAGGCCTTCGACCAATCAGAGGATTGAGTGATCTGTACACTGAACCTTGATAGTGCTTAGTTTGGAGAAAGGATCATCCCTTGTCTGACACTTCTGATACTTTCGTGGGTATAAAGACACATGAATAAACCGTCCACTTGTATACTGACGTGTGAGCTCCAGTGGTTAGCCTCTTATGGCATCCCGCAACCTAGTGTGAAACGAGCAGGCCCCATGTTGGCTGATGTCCAAGATACCGAGGTATTTTCCTTTCTCGGGCGAAATTACACTGTAAATCATTCTCACCGAGACCAGTTTGTTGTGAGTTTGCCTAACATGAATCTGAACATTTACCGCCTCCTGCTAAGACATTGGCCGCCAGTTTCCTGATTACTCAGAAATCGTTTCGGGAAGGTGGACAAGTGCAATTTTGAGAAGTACATGCAATGTTTCCTCAAGCGAAAGAGGTCGTTGTAAGAAAAGTTTCAAGTTAAAGTTTTATACCAGGTATTGTTCCCTACGTCTATAGTTTAGGCTACAGGAGTTTTAAGGAACTAGCTTTATGGCACTATTTGCCATTTTTCTATGGGGCTTTCTTTATAGAGTTCCTATTGTTACTGCAGTAAACAGGGCATATTGACCCCGCAAATCCATGATTCCACATCAAAACACCTGCTCTACCTGACCCTGTCCGTTTATTCTCGCATCTTTGAATTATTTCAATTTCGCAAACATTCTCCATGGCATCCGGTTACTTTCGCACTGGATTTAGAACCTAAGGGACCTCACCAATCTGAGGTTAGCTGATAACAGTCAATAAGTCGACCCACGTGGCCTAGTGAACAAAAGCATGGAACTTGATTCGAATCCAGTATCAAATTTTTCCAATCGGTTGTTGGCCTCGGTATTAAAATCTGTATACAGTTTTGTTTCAGGAAAAAGTACTTGAAAAGTAACGCTACTGTTGATCATGGCACACACCATTAGCTTTGGTCACATACCAATATCAGTTTTTCCAATCGGTTGTTGACCCTCGGTCTTAAAATCTGTATACAGTTTTGCTTCAGAGAAAAGTACTTAAAAAGAAACGCTACTGTTGATCATGGCATACACCATTAGCTTTGGTCACATACCAATATGACCAATCAAACGGAGCTCATCTGTTTACTTTAATAAGTCACGCTAGCCGTCAAATGTACTAAAATGAACGACTTATCTGCCTGTTCATGACATCCGATCCCATAAGCCAGTTCTCACCGAGTCTATTTCAGCGGCCAAACTTCTACTAGACCAAGCGTTCTCATAAAGACGGACGACTCTCCTCACGATTCGCAAACACACTGCCCTTTTTCTATTACGATCGCAATAAAGCGTGATCATATCACAAAAAGATTATCAGTAAAACCACCTAATTCTCGCTGAAACCTTGCGCAACCATGCAGCCATACTTAAGGTGTTCATCACTGAAATTACCGATGAACAGAGAAAGCACCATAATTAATATTTTTTCATAGAAGCCAAACGAAGCTGTGAACCACCTTTTCATTGCTCATTTTGAATTTTCAAGACCAACAATCTGAACGTTTGACTACAGTAATGAACCTGAAACTCCTTTGGAACACCTGGCGGTGAAGTCCAGAATTCAACTACGAAGATAAGTGTGATTAGTCCCCACTGGTGTCCGAGAGGTGCCCCCTTAATTGCATTTGAACACTTCCAACATACAGTGGGCAGGAGGCCACTTTATCCAAAGACTGATGACAAGAAAACACATAAATCTACAAAATTTACTTGAACTCTAGGTTACTATTAGCTACCAGCGAGCTTTTGACCAAGTAAGATTAAGATATACTGCAATATGAAACATTGCCTAACACTTCATGCCAGTCTCAGTCGAGCCAAAATTGGAGACATCTGATTATAACCGGTGGTTTGTTGATCGATCCGGATGATCTGATTGAAAACTTTTCATCTGCGGTCTAGGATCCACCAACTGGCTGTATTTTTGCAAAAACTTTGTACGACGGAGACGATGATTGAAGTATTGCATTTAAATTCCGCAGCCATATGTGTAACCTGAGCCATTATCACCCATGTTAGATTATATCACCACTTACCCCAGTGTATGGTAGCATACATGCATTACCGATCCCCCGAAACTGCCTTTGTCCTGAATGAGGCTCTCGCTCTGGCTGCTGTTCCCGAGTTTCCATCAACGTTAGGTTATCGTACACACCAACCAATATACACGTGACGAAACAGACTCATGCAAATTACCTTGGTGTCAACGAGACTCAGGTGAATCTCTCGTCCTAATTCGTTGTACAAACGCCAGCTCTCATAATAGAAAAGAGATTGCAGCATATTTTCTTGACCAAACATCTTATCCATAAGTTTGTTGAATAAAATATCCTACGATTCATAGAATTTCGTGACAACTTCAATTTGAAGTAGCCTTGGTACAGTCCATTCATAAACGAGAGAGTTAGCAGAGCGTATAGTTAATATCAAGATCATTTGTGCCATTGGTGTGTTTCATCAATTGTGTACAGTTCACCGTTCAGGTAGAACCTAAGATTCTTGGACTCTCGAGAACTATGCCTCTCGATGAGTCTCAAGAGGTTTGCAACATGTAGTCAGCTACCGGGCAGTTTTCCATAAAACGAAAAGCAATGCACCCCGTTAAGAGTCAGCGAAAGCCAAAAATACGCCCCTTTGGAGAGGTATAGACAGTAAAGAACCGTTAGAGGGCTGCCAGTCGATTTCAAGTAATCTTAGCATGCTAGTCTCAAAATGCACACCGAACACATCACTTTTTCGTCTTGATTGCGAATTGGTCATTTTTGGGAGAAGATTATTTCGCTGAATTGGGTGATACTCTGGTTTAAGGTTGGCATAAGCTATGGGTTTGTGTAATGCCACGTTTTAAGCTTTTCGAATGAAAAGGTCTCCCATCAAGGTTCCATCAAGCACAACAAGAAGATGGTGCTCCGAATTTAGTGAACATAGACCGGATATGCTGCTCTCTATTGGGTGTCGGATACTGCTTGGGACGCCCTCTGAAAAATGAGATAGTGTCCTTTTAGCACAATACTTTTGTCGCAAAGTCACACATAGTCACTGCACATGGGGCTCAACTACTTCATACTCCAGTCCGGTTATTCCGGAAGCAATCCCACCCAAACCGAATTAAGCTATGGACGAGCAAAAGAAAACTTTTTTGGCAAGTAGATATTCATAGTACACGTCTTTTTTATTTTTACCGAAGAATACACAAGGCGAACAAAACTCAGTTTTGTCAAATTCTTGTTCGCTCACGCAATTACCGAACAGATGGAAATGGGCTTGAGTTGTAATTTATCGGAAAGGAGTTAACATCCTTCAAAGCATCGTGGTGAATAGTCCCCACTCTGCTATCGCTGGCTGACTCAATTCCAAAGTAGGACATTTTTAGATTCCCACACTCACATACAAAACTTTCTAGGATGAATAAGACCTGAAGTATGCATGAAGAAATCTATCAATATTTAAGTGTTAAAACGATTCATACAAATGGCAAATTAATAATGACTTTCAGGTTTGACCCAGTTTGGAACCGGACTGGACCTCGATCTTGCCCAGTTTGTTTTTTCATATCCATAACCATTTTTGTCGTAACCAAGCGTATCGACTTCCGCGTTGTAACGATGTATCATAGCATATTTCTTTGAAAGTTCCCTTTTTCCCTCCTCTTCATCGTTTTTCCCCTTCTCTGTGTAGGCTAACTTGTTTTTACCCCTCACGACCGATTTCTTTGCCCTAGCAGACTTTACTGGAATTGGTCGGCGTATTCGACGTTGGTCATCGTAGTCATCCATTCGCTCATCGGAATTTTTTTCATTCTGGTTGTAACCCGAGTCATAATTATCGTCTTCGTAATTGCCCGCGTTCGACTCATCGCGCTCCGTTTCACTGCCGTCACCATACTCACTAACGTCATTAGTGCTGTACATTGGCGGTACGGAGTTGAATGTTTGTGGTCCATAGCCGAAGTTAAAATTTATAGGTGGAAAACCCCATAAACCTCTGGGTCTGAAACCAAAGTCGCCCACATTCGTATTTACTCCATAGGGGTGAAATCTTGGTCCAGTCCCATAACCGCCACCGCCATATGAGCTAATTTCTGGGCCATATGTGTAACCATGAACCTCTGATGAGAGCAGGGGTGATCCCATCGGCCGGTATGGATGTGCGTACATCTGGTTCGAATAATCGTAGTTGTTGACAAACTTAGGAAAAATGCCGTTCAATCTTGGAAGTGTAAAATATCCGAGTTTGTTATACGGGGCGTTATACGAGTAGTTATCTTTTTCACTCTTCGCGCCGTACGCCGACATAGGGTAGTACGAGAGAGGATAGCCGTACCATGGAGTTGGGGACCAATCTGGACCGTACATCATCCAGGCATGATGTATTGGATAGTAAGGCCACACGCCCCACCCCATTCCCCATCTTGACAGTTGTCCATGAGCCGTTGAAGCTAGGACAATCACGGACAAACAGACTATCATCGTGAAATAGGAAACCCGTCGTCAATTCAGCCAGTCAACTTATATAAAATGGAATGTTTGTTGCCACTTCACAAGTCACATGTTAGGCCATCGGAAGCCACTGATTCGACGCAAGCGCCATAACGTCCAGTGCACTCGAGTTGGTAATCGAACCTTCTACGCAATGGGTCGATATTCTGCGGAGAAACGGGTGCACTTCACAAGCGTTTGGCATTGCCGTCCCCATTTTCGCAGTTTTTAATTGCTAAAAAAGGCACTTCAGGTCAACTCAGGATCCGTTCATCACTATTGGGACAAAAAAATACCCGTGCTCGAGTGATCCTGTTAAACTGTAACACCCTTTCGGTGCCGAGCTGCCATGCAACCAGAAGGAAATGTGTGATACTGCAGTAAATGGTCGCCTTGTCCGGATTGTACCACTTAAAATGGAACAATGTTCGGTTGAGTATTGTGTTAGATTAGTCCGTTTTGTGTTGAAACGACCAACAGAGCCGTTGACTTGTCTGCCAACATCTGAAAGAACTTCCAGTAGGTTAGCGCTATTCTGGTTCAATGCAAAACATTCCTATAAAATTCAGCGCCCGGATAGACGCGCTCGAATAGCCTCTGGACAACTGTCAACAGGTGTCATAAGAGACACTCACATGTTTCTCACATGCCAGATCTAAGTGCACTATCTGGGTCTGAGTAATCACACCTACGCATGATATGAAATTTTCTACATAAATCTTGTTTTACGGAACAAATGGCTTACGAGATCTTAGACATTTGTTTAGGCTACTTTTCTGTGGCGGGTGAATCTCCTCCGAGTGAACGACTTCACACCTTCCCGAGGTCTTGGATCTGCGGCAGGGCTACTGTGTATACAGATCTGTAGTGTGTTTGTTCCACGCCATTCTTGTTACTTTCATACAGGTCTAGAGCATCCGTGGTGATTCCTGACAGGCGAGTCACTGATCTGCAAACCCGGGGCGGTCGCTGAACCATCTTTCGAACTTTTTAGCTGCTTACCCGTCTCGATGTGATAAGAAGTACTTCTGCCGTTTCCCAAATGAGAAATAGCAACACGTTTCCGTCGAATGTCAGACGACCAGAGTTTGATTCTCGATGTGACCAAAGATAATTTCTGTCTCCTTCCAGACAAGGACCATCGTTCAGGGACGGGATGAAAAGTCGGGTAAAGTGAGACAAGTTCTACAGCTCACGCGACAGCTAATGCATACACTATTTATGGCACCCCTAATATATGTCTAAAGGACTTCGTGCCAGAAACTCTATACCATGAAGCCGTTTGACAAAGAAGACATTAACCCTTAAGTGGTTTCTAGAAGTCGTGGACTCACGACTGCTGACGGTAGTTGAGCCCTTGAAATGCGACACACGCTCAGCCGTATAGATCATCTTTGTACATTGAACTGATTTTTCTTTATTTTGCCAATCAAGCTTCACAAAGGATCTGATATTTATGAAGCCTATGAGTCTTCGCCTGCTCGTATCCTGCTCTGAAGTTTAATCAGTCGTATACATTTATGAACTCACTAAGACGCTGTTAGCTGTTTTCCGAATAAAACTGATACCGGAAGTGAAATAGGATTGACACGAAATATATGATGGGTTTTTCACATACCATCGATGGACACGGTTTCTGAACAGTCCTTCCGAGTTCTGAAAACAAGGCAATGTGAGGCTAATAGAGGGTGATGCAAGAGATCAAGCGCCATTTCATGCTAAGATTCTTGCAGGATTTTCTGTCATTTGAACGCTGTTTCATGCATACACACAGGCTGTTGGGTTCCGGCTGCTGAAGGATCGGCAATCACTCAGAGCACTGCCTACACTTTCGGAAGCAGAGCAACAGCAACAATCAGCAAACGCCAAGTTGTTACTCATCGTAGCAAAACCCTACACGTTGGTGTGTTCCACAACAGTGGACGAAAATGACAGCTTTTCAAACACAGGTCTGGCTAAGAGCGATTCTGATAGGTGAGTCAGCCGATTGCCACAACCAGGATATCTATTCGGTTGTTGGTTGAGTTGAACTAGTCACTCAAGTGCAAACCTGTTCACCAGCTCAGACGAGATAATTCAGGTGCGCCCAACGTACGCTGGTGGGGTATTGGTGGCACGGTCGTCTCGCAGTTGGAGAAACTTCACAGATGCAACAAGATTGAGCTAACTAGGGAACGTGCAGACGGTTCATAAGAATAAGCGGGAACTAACGGAATGTTTAATGACATTCCGTTGGATATAGTCTCCAAAATCTATGCAATCTTGTTGTTAAGTAGCTTCTGTTCACGCAGTCATTTAAACGTTTTTCATTTTCACCAGTGTCCTTGGATGAGTTCTTACCAAGCGGTTATTCGCCTAACAAACCTATCAAATGCTCACTGAAAAGGAAACTATGTGCCCAGTGTTCGGGGGAAGTGCATCCAAGTAACATTCTAGATAACCCTTGCCCTGACTACCAAAACTGACTATTCGCATTGCGAACACAGGATGTTTTAAGTGACATTGCCCACCCTGAAATTTTGGGTAGGCGCGTGTTCACTTAACGCATACATACAATTTCTTTGAGATGGCATCACGTACAGGATTGCTGCCTTGATAACTTGCCAGTTCAGAGGTCGGGTGAGATCAGGGAAACTAACTCGACCTCTTGCATATCGTTTCACAGTGAGGCGCCATCGTGTAGCACACACATTTAGTCGGACTATGCTGTGCACAAGAGATTTAGTCAATACCATCTTAATTTTCAGGCGAACGTTTGGCTCCACAATTTCTTTTATTATGGGTAAACACGCTAAGCTAGGTAAACGATATGCTGAGTGTCCCAGCGGGGTAGTCCTGATGCGGCAGGACTTTACTAGTCATGGTTGCATTACATACCAAGTTGTTAACAACTGCAACCCGCTTTAACCCACCTCCGACATGAACAAAACAACTCTTTTATACCAAAACCTAATTCTATGTTCACCAAGTGAAAAGAATGAACTGTTTCGACAGAATAAGAAAGAATTCATTGTGTGGAAACGATAGCTTGAATGTCTGATGGATGGAATAATTCTTGTCCCAAAGCGTACAAGTAGGACGGTGCATGACTACCAAGGTTGGTTAGAAATAAACTAATCAAACCAGCTGGAATGTGTTCCCAGCGTGGAACCCATACAACTGGACCGTTGGCCGGCGGCAGATTGACCAAGTTGTTGGAGGAAACAATCGGATCATCTGGAGGGAGAATCTTCGCTGGACTATCGATCCAGTCTGGAGAAGCATTGCTGGGATCCTTGGTTGGCAAGACGGTATAGGGAGGTGGTGTGTTTGCTGAGGCCTTCATCGGAACTGGGGAGAGTTTGTACTGGGGCAGACACACGTACGTCTGTGAGGCGAGAAAACAGCGACGTACCAGTGAAAGCAAAGAAAACTATCAGACGGTCTTCTCGAGTTAAAGGTAGGTAAACATTTCCTTTTTCAGGTACAAACCCATGCATGTGAATGATAGGACCTATTTATGTTCTTTCATGAAGATGGACTTTTACAGAGGAGGGAACACTAAAACCAGCAGAACACAAAGGCATACATTGCAGCACCTGAGGGGTTACCAAAGGGGAGAAGGTCAAGACTGACGGGAAACGTTAATCTGTAACTGCTTGGAGAGTGGTCTCCTTTTGATAAACTTTATAGGTGGGCGACCGTGGGTCATTGTCATCTAAACAGGCAACTCTGGTGTTCGCTGTTGTTGCTCACGGACACTTCTTTCTGTAATCCCGGTGATCGGGTGAACTTTCGTCTACTCAACGGAGCAGCAGTGTGGTCGACCGTAACCATGGATACTCGCTCGTTATTGTTTGGTTTCTATTGAAGCTACTTACAACACACAAGTAGCGCAGACCAGATGGATAAGTGCACACTGGTAGGTGATCTGGGTTCCACTGGAGGAGAGTGATACACCCGGTCACGATGTAGATGACACTGGTCGCTGAAAACACTACTTGAGTCTGACAGCCAAAATATGCCTTCAATTCTCATTATGAACATTATGCGGACTACTGCGCATTTTGAGATCATCTGGTCGGGAGGCCGTAGCGGTTGAGAAAACCAATAAAATCCCATAGTATCGGTCTGAACGCAAAGGGGGTCATGCACTAAAGCATCACCCCATTAACTCACGACGATAGAAAACGTCATTTCAAACGCCACCAACTGACTGCTAATTTCGACAGCAACAGCAACCGACACACGCTGACCCATGCCGGTTAGATTTCCCCTGCATGATTAAAAGAAAGCCACGAATGATCACGTCTTAATTCGGCAGCTTACTCTAGTCCCAAGTTGTTCGAGCAACCAAAGAACTCAAGAACAAACTTATCGCAATATGCAACGGGTGATAAGGTGGATCACCAAAGCCTTTTACATACAGTGTTCACGGTTCCCCAGGATTTTAACGGTGGATATATCATTTATAGCTGCCTGACTTCGGAAGTCACGAAGGCGTCAATATAGAATCCTCTCTATACCCGCAAACCTGTTGACATCATTCCGAGCAAAAAGCACACATCAGGAGGTAAAGATGAGCGCCGAGCATTTACCATGAAAAGTTATGACATGAATTGCGAATAGAATGAACTGGGTGGGCTCAACTATACGTAGAACGGCTACATCGAGCGAAATAGGAATAACGGATGGCACAACGAACGGTAGAGTGAAAGAAGACAACGTGGCACACAAACAGTCGACCAAGTTGGCAATCAGATGTACTGTGACAAGATCAACTTCAAATGCACAACCAGCCGAACAAACAGCCTCACTTAATTTCAGGCCAGGCATAAGTGTTTGACAGTAGGTGAAGTTTTTCATCCAGTCAGCAGTTCGTGCGCAGGGTCTACCTCTCTCACCACGTGACTATGAATTATGATACAGGTGGGTGTATTCGGTGTGTCTCCTCGTACGGTGACGAAAGGTTTTTTAAGTCAATTGCTAAGCTCAGCAAACGGATCAACAACCAACAATAGTCGAAATCTTTAAGGCCTACCGAAGGATAGATGTCCTCGATACATTTACGTAGTTGGAATTGAAAATGTTTGGGTAAGTGGGATGGGACCACAGATAAATATAGTTACATTCAGGCAAGATGTAACGTGTTACTTTCGCAACACGCTGCGTTTTCATCCGCAGAGCATTTTGCAGCGTACAACGACTCATTCAGTTCTACTACCAGGTCCTCACCATGCATCTACCATCGATAACATACGGAACTCGGAAGTAAATGGAGATGAAATAGAAACGAGTAACAAACAGTACGGATGAGCGTCAAGTGACTCAAAAAGCACGGTCGGATTGACCATCAGCTTTTCCAGAAATGCCTACCATTAAATTAAGAGCCACTGAGTCCTTGAGGTTTCTCTCCCCAATCAAAGGTCACTGATATGGCTCATTCCTATCGGGCAGTCACAATAAAAAGTGCAAAAAGGGGTTATCCCAACTAGGGCGGACAGATATCTATATCTGGAGTGCGCCAGCCTATGCTGCTCGCTTAAACACCGTGTGGCTGAGTCACTCAGTCAATAAGCCAGGAGTGACCACCGGATGATTGGCGCAGCTATGTTTCGTCCTTTGCATGGCCACTCATTTCTTCAGTCATTACGCAAACAGACTACTTGACTGCAAACTTGCTCCTGTGCTGGTCACCTTGCCAACGTACTAACGGCAGTACGTGCTTTAGTAGTACGTGCTCTATGAATGATCCAGCCAACAACCACCCGTACTGGGCAAAGTACAATGCCGACTTGAATTCCGGTCACTCCAACCTCTGGAAGGACTCAAGGTGAATTGCCTCAACAAGGACGACGGAGCACGAGCGCAGCTGGCGTTGGAGATTGTTATATCTACTGATTTGTCGGCCTGTGGTATTTGCTGCTGACCCGCTCCAGTGCCTAGTGTCGGAGAGAAAAAGGCTCGCGGAAGGGAACACAATAGCTATATTCCAACAAAGTGGTTGCGAGAGCGCGAGTGCGAAAAGTACAACGGCCTCAAGCTTTTTATTGGAAGGACACTGTCTGAACTTGGTCCAATGCTGATGCACGCGGTCTGGCTTTAGTACGAGACAGCGACGTGCTGCATAGTGCGGAGGCGTTGTCTGTCCTTGATCAACGCTGACTCGCGCTGTCTGGGTTTGATGCAAGGGTGTGACGCGCTGCATATTGAGGAGGCGTTGTCTGTCTGGTCAACACCCAGTGGAGCTGAGGGTCTCTGTAGATTCCGGGCATTCAGTGGTTGCTTTCAGGAAGCTGACCTTCCTGATAGAGATTAGCACGAAGCTGTGAATGTTTTCCTCAGTGTTCCACCGTCAATCGCACATGGCAACCACAAGAATCAGACGGAGCAGTCAGTACAAAAACTGACCCCCACCGACAAAACACGTCTAAAGTATTTATCATACGTTGTCCAAGCTTGACACCCACGTCACGTTCCACATGGAATATACTTCAAAGGGATGGCTGGCCTGTACACAGGACCATAGTAAGCCTGTAGACTGCACCAGATGTCTACAGAATCAAGCGTGCCTACGTTGGCCGAATCAAATTTCAAGCTGCTGAATACAAACGGCACTTCCGAAAAACTCCAAAAATGGAGCTAGGCTCAGCCGCAACATTTATACGTTAGCTGAGTGTCGTCCAGCCATATTCTATAACATGCACAAGTTAAGAGGAAACAAATCGTTCAGATGTAATACCCTTTCGATGCTTAGCAGCCATACCATCCGAAGGAGGCACAAGGCCTGAGATACTGCCAAGCTGTCCAAGCCTGGACAGTGGAAGTCGAGATGCAGTGGTAGAGTCCAAACCAGGGACCTTCCGGTCAGTAAATTTGCGCTCTAACCACTGAGCCGTCTTCTGGCGAAATACGCTACTGAATCTGTGGCAGTCCACATGAACCTGCAAACGCCAACAGATCCGACAGTGTCGAACTATCGGCAATCCACACTGCCACAACACAAGCTCAGGTTTACTATGACAGTTGACACATAACGCTCATAGGCAGATCTGCATTTGGATCTAAGGGCAAACATACGTAGGCGTCAACTCGAGTTTTCATTTTGTAGAACCACTTAGAATCACACACCGAAAGGAAACTGAGGAAACCGGCAAGACAAGCGAATAATTGTCTAACACGGAAAAAAAAGATATATGATAACCAGATTGAAGTGTTCCCCCAAGGCAGTTCACCAGCAAAATTACTAACAACTTACAGGTATTGAGAAGTGCTTGGCCGCCAACAGGACGCTGTATGTACCCGTTGGTGCATCCATGGTGCCATCCGGATAAACCGAGTTGCATCCAATGATAACCTCGAGAACAGTGAAATTTCAAGCTACGGAAGAAAATACCTTATTCACTCGGGACATGAGACCGAATACATGACTATCTGGAACCAATATAACATTTATACCCTCTTTAGACAGATCCTCAGCGAACTTGTGACCCTGTAATTAATCAGTCACATGAGTAAGAGTACACGAAAACCCAAGTACCAGATTGTCTGGATAACCCTCACAAACGATCACTTTGTACATTCGTTTCTTCTCAGCAGCTCTCTGTACTAAAATAAACAGTGAGGCTGTTTCACATTACCTTGAGGAAACGGTAGGCCAATTGCGAAGATCCGTGAGTGAGGATGAGCTCATCAGAATGAATAAGATCAAGGGATAGGTCAGAAATGTTCTCATAACATGCATTTATATCTACAATGAATTCGTCCAAGGCACCAAGAATAGCCTCCAAAACATCTGATTTGACCACGGACTCATAAGCTGTGTCGCCAGAAGCGAATAAACGGTTCTGAAATGCCGAAGTCTGAGATCAGCTGAAGAGGCATGAATACCGTTGAATTTTCCTCGAATTCAGCATTACTTCCGCGAAGTACTCTGGAGTGGGTTACACAACCATGTAAAGGCAAGCGACACACTTTAGGGCTTCTTCACGTGCGATTTTCAAGACTCTGAGGCATACATGTAGGTTGGGAGTTGCATTTACGCCCGTCGACGTGTAGTCGATAGCTTTCTGATGGATAAGAGCAACAAGTGACCTAAAGTGACCATGTAAATAGGGGACAGTTGAAGTAGAAGATACAACCTTATATCAGTCCAAGTACCGTTTTCTATAAGTTGCTTTAGTGAGCTGAATGTATTTTTCACACTTTTGAACGATGACTCCCTAAAAGGAAGCCTAGGCAGAGAAAAACAAAGCTTACTTGCTTGGTCGTGGGAGTCGCAGCTGACTGGGAGGCAAATCGACGGTCATATTTTCGCTCGAGAGTGATCTACATACACCAGTTAATAACGACCGAACTCTGAAATAAAAACCGATCGACGGGACACAAGATTATGTGGCGAAAATCTGTAAGGTTTAACATCTGTGTACAATGATTGGAGGTGTGCTGACGTAAGACACGACCCCAACTGGGTAGTGGAAAGTGGTACGCGGGTAAAACATTCGACGGTCGTTCAAGTGCCCTATTCGCTCCAGTAAACGACCCAAGAGCAGGCAGTGATGTCCCTGGAAGGAATTACATCATTGAAAAGGATTCTTCTACAGAAAGCGCTACAAAAAAATTTTCGCTGGCCGAGGATCTTGGGAGATGCCTCGGCTGTAGCACCCTTTCGGTGCCAAGCTGCCATGTCACCAGAAGGAAGCACAAGGGCTGGGATACTGCCAGGTTGCCCAAGCATAGAGGGGAAGTTGACAGACAGAGGTCGGGTTCTAACAACGGACCTTCTGGTCAGCAAATTCGCGCTCTAACTACTGAATCATTTCGCCCATCTTGAGAGATAGGGGTGAGTGAATACGCATTGGAGGCAGTTGCCGTCATAATCGACGCATGGATCCAGGAATGATAGCGGAATTCTCAGTGGGATGAGGAGCTATGCACCGAAAGCTACAAGTTGGATGTATGCGTGCCTTTGAGCATTCGACTGGGTCATATCTGTTAGCCTCTAACCATAGATGTGTCATGTCTCGGGGACACCATCAAAAACACACACAAGTTTGCTGGTAATGACTCCCACACTTCGCTGCCAAGTCGTTGCTTGGCCTCCTCTGGCTAGTTTTCACTCTCCGTGTGGTTGGGTGAAAAGGGCTTCCCGAGGAATCCAAACGATTGACATATGCAGCACCTGACCAAACCGGCGGTGCAATTATGGAGTGTGATCACACCACTCATCAATTCGATTCAATTTATCAGCTGGCAACCATTTCGATCACCAGAAAGTGGAAGAGTGTGGAACATACAGCCAAGCCTCGGAAGCGATGGCATGTTCAATTAGTTCGGGAACTGAGAAGCTACGCATTGAAGGCGATGGCCTTAATGCACGAGCGCCACTGACTGTGTCATTGGGCCATTTCTGCCAATGCCATTAACCACTGGTGAGTTGAGTCCCGCGGTCCTCATCCAGGAAGGCGGCAGTTGCCGATCCGACTAAGTTTACTGTTTAGTGTTTTCGTACTTCGTAGCCGGCTCATATACTGTCCACTTCTCGGTTGCTTCCACTCAGCACAGCGCTGGGAAAAAAGAGCCCTGTGAGGCAGACTGTTTTCTGGCATGCGGATTACAGGTCCTAACCACCGTAACCTATGATGCGTGAGTAATTCGTCTATCGCGGGAGAGTTCCTTCTTCCTAAGACCATCTGGTGTACCTCAGCATTCCTAATCCGATGTTCCCACCAGACCTGACCAGTGCTTTGGAAACACCGATGACCAAACATTGAAACCTTCTGTATGCCCTCTGCACGTAGGGGCAAAGTTTCTTACCCATAAAACAGTATGGGTCACACTCAAGCAGTGTAAATCCTGCTCCTGACAAACGCCCACGTCAAGTCGGCGCCATAGGTGCCAAGGCTGGCGAAAGCTGCCCTAGCCTCCCCGATTCGAGAAGTGATCTCAATTCTAGCCACCTCACCGGAACTTATACAACTGCCCAGGTAAACAAATTTATCAACCACGTCGATTGGTTCACCTGCATAAGCTGTGGGTTTGATCCCACTCAGTCTTGTAGCAGCACTTTACATTTTGGAGGTGTGAAGCACATGCTAAACGGTGCGGCAGATTCTTTTACGTTATTTAAAATCGTCTGCATTTGGGAAGGATATGAACCAAGGGGAGCAATATCGTCTGCATACTCAATGTATGTGAAACCCAGCTTGATTCTCGTGTCTCTCCCGATAATCCATCAACTTGCTCAAAATGCCAGAGCAGAGAACACATGGGACGGACACCAGGCTGATGCAACGATGGCTTTCACATGGCGTCCTTTCGCCCTTTTTGAAAACTGGGATGACGGCCGGGGAGCTCCATTCGACTGGTATTCTGCTTGTGTTCCAAATCTGCAGTATGGTTGTCAGACTGTTCACCAGGACCTCGCCATCTTCTTAAAGTGTGCGTGGCGCAGACCATCCGGGCCAGGTGCTCGGTAGGGCTTCAGGATTGACATCTCACACCGGATTTCGGTTGCCGATGGCGGGTTGGTGCTAGTGTTCTATTCGGTATTGGGTTCTTCTGAACATTCGATTTTCTTCTAGCGGTCGAGTTGAAGGAGACCAGTTTAACTGTTCTTTAAAGTGTTCAGTTCGGTGCTCAAGATGATAATTGAGGGAATGAACTCAAACGAGAGCATTTCATGGATCTTTACGTGCCTACGGAAGTCAGCGTACAGCGCCAACAGCATCGCTAAGAATTTATGGAGAAACATTTGCTCCATAGAAACCCCTATAGTACCTGACGGTCCATAATTCTGCTTCTGATTGCAGCAAGCAGTTTCTCTGTTTCAGAATCCATCGGAAGGCGAACATGTGGTTGATGTATTTTTTCAGGACGAAATCCAGCTTGGTTATCACGGATCTGCTCCTTACTATGTTCGGTCAATCTCCTGAGGATAAAACCAGAGGACACCTTTGATACCACAACTAATGCCACGGTGATTTTAACACAGTGTTTGCGTACGCCTTTTGGAGACAAAAATGAATTTCACTGTGTCCAGCTTTTTCATTTGGCGTTTTTGTGAGTGAAATAATGCGTCATCTGCCTACTCATCATTCCACTGAGTTTATTTCTTTTGGTTAGCCGACAGTATAAAGCAATACAGGACACGGTGGCAAAAAACTTCTGAATTTCCAAGCCTTTGATTGCCCACCAAAGCTCTGCCTTTCTTATACTTTTCGTTATTTGGCGTTTGAGGGATTTGTAAGCACCGTTGTACTCGACGCTTGTTGGTATGGATTTCCTGGCATCAATTATGAATAACGAAATCAACGACAACCAGTGGTTATTTCATCGTGTCGGAGTCGAGAAGACAGCCATGGATGCCATCAGTATAGCTCGTTTCATATTTTTTCATGCTTAATCCATGTGATCACTACAAGTGCGGTTTCAGCTTACTGCAGAGAGTAGTTGGGCTAGTTCAAGTGGGTAGTGTTCAGCTATGGTTCTCCGAAGATGGTGGAATCCTGTCTGCTGCTCTCGCGTCAGTGTTTCACGAGGCACCATGAGGCCGCAAAGGAAAAGCAACTCTAAATGGGTTCAAGCTGCCTCCCCCTGATTATCGCACTTACTACGAGCTCCTTTTCTGCAAATGCACACTAAGACTGATTCTTAAAGGTTGTTTGGAGGCCGTCACGAAGAGACTGGACCTTACCGTGGTGTGACGGTTTGCGCACCTCAGCGATCCATTGAGCTATACTGGAGAGTGTCCCGCGACACTCACAGAGTCTCTCACACCAGGTT